CCGACATCGCTGTGTTATTAACACAATGACATTCACAATGAATCATTTCGTAGTTGATTTCTGTGTCCAATGCGGCCAGGTTACGTCAACCGAAGCAGAACATTTTTCAATAGTCAGTTAACGCAAACCTGACCTGCAAAGTGGTGTAAGGGTACGCGACAACCACAGCTCCCTAAGGGTTCAAAAGACGACCAGACAAATTTTGTTCCCATGATATGTGTGTGTTCCCACGTGCAGGGCACCCAAAGGGCCCAATGGCCTAGTCGAACCGGTGACTCTCGCAGTCAGGATGTCATGGCAAAAGAGTGTGGATTTGAATTCAAAATCCTTTAGGTACTCTGGTTATACCAGATGTTGGTGCCTGATTAACCCGTGTGTTGTATTTACGGCTTCTTACGTTGGTGAATATACTGTGGTTACCGTAAGACGCTGTTGGGGGGGTGGTGAGCTCAGAATGACTCACTGAGGCCTTTTCCTGGGGACACAAACGTGACCTTACCCACCCATCTGAGACGAAATGTGGATCATCGATACGTTCTATGTTGAAGTTAGTTGCACACTTATCATTGTGACGTCTACGAGGTATTACGGCTTTGATATTAGCCGTTAACACAGCAACAGACAAGAATGACTCGTATTACGCCTAATGTTAAATACATCTGAATCGGTCAGTTCGGACCACGGAAGTCACTCTTACGTACTGTAATTATTCATGAATGAAGTAATCTATACCCATGCAAAAAGACTAACCCTTCCATATCTGAGATATGTCATTGAAGGGAACCATAGTCACCTTAACTTGTAGTCATTCGTAAGAGAACAGCCTCATGCAACTACCTAGGCGGTTGACTTCGACTTGTCCTGTTTTGATAAAGTGAGAAAGTACAACCTAAGTGAACCATCGGAATTAGTCCTCTGTGTGTGTGTCAGTTTGGACACAATCTTTCGGGGGGAGGGGAGACGGGTTATCCTCTTGCACTGATCTGCTGACCACATTCACCACGTTCACCCTACTCCACACTGCGTGAGGTCTCGCTCATGCATGCCTTTGATCAAAACTCTTTCAGACCTATTTTGAACCACATTGTTATCAGCCTAATGCTTGGCGTTCACTTCGCAATTATATTATACCTTTTATGGCTGTTCGATACACGCCAACCGGTTGTACTTTCCTCCTATCCATCAGATGATCATCATCGCAAGAGATTGCGCCTGCACTGTTCCAGTACGTGACAGGGTTCTGTTTTCCAAATACGGATCCCAGACGCATATGATGAAACCGGTAGCCGTACGAATGAGCGTTTGTATATACGTATATCTATAATACTTGTCAAAAAGATTGTGCTTTGGCTAGAAAACGGATTTCTGTGCAATACATGCGCTCGTGCGAGGTACAGTAACGCAGTCGGGCCATAGGCGTACAAAGACTAAATTTAGTTTTTCAGTTTCACAGAGGTTTTCAACAATAGTGTAACAGTACGCATAAATTTCGACTGTAGTAGTCGTGCGAACACACCACACAAATCAACAGTGGTAGTTGTTGTACTGAAGAAAAAAGTATGCAATCCGTGCGATCATGATTCAATCAGGCATTTGCATGCGCCTGTGTGTGTGTGTGTGTGTGTGTGTGTGTGTGTGTGTGTGTGTGTGTGGATTCAACTGGCCGAAACATGTTTTGGTTCCAGTTTGACCTGGGTCGTATTCATACTCGGTGTTGTACGGGGTCGATTTGGCCAATGACCATCAGTGGCAGCAATCTCGGCCAAATTGTGCGACAGTGTGAATCCCGGTCCAGGGGTATCACCTGGCTTTCCACCGATTCCAGGTAATGGTTTTCTGGGTGACAAAGCCTTTCCCGGAGATTTAGTGGTTTGTGGTGTCTCCGGGGTACGTGGCCGCGAACGGGACAGTACTGGTGACTCGGTGGACCGGATCGGAGCTAGAAGACTGGGTAGAGTTTTCTCTGTTTTTGTAGGCTTCTGCGGTGGAACAATTGCCTCGCGACTTGTTCCCTCCGGGTGTGATAGATGGAACGGGAAAACGGTGTTGGTGTTTTCTGGACGAAGGATAAGCTGTTGGAAATAGGGTTTTATCAGTCAGGTAGAACATTTTAACTCGGGGAAAATGAACAATACATAGTGATGAGAAAGTTGGATGAATGTTTATAGTACGTTTTTGGCAAATCAAACTCCGCAGTGCATTCTAATCGAATAACAATTGCCTGTATCACATTCTTTGCCAAAATTATTTTACGTACGTAGAAGATGTTAAGCTGTGTTCAACGAACTGCCTTTTGACGAGTGTTCAACGCATTTTCTATATTGTTGTGGTAATTACGTCCAGATTGACCAAAATTACATGGGTTGATTTGGGAATGGCATACAAGCAGGCAGCATACATTATTCGGTGGAATTGTTTTAAATATTTTTTCATTAAATATACTGTCTTTAACTGATCGGGTGATATGGTTTCATTTACAGTTACAATCACCGAGCAGCCATGAATGACACGTCTGATTGTTATCTCTGATCAAAGCTTTGGGATATGTTTGATCAAGAGCTATCAGGGGCAGGAGCAGCACTGTCTCGAAAAACACCAATCCAATGAATACCGGCATTCATCTCACTGAAATCATCGTAATTGTCTCAAGTCCACCCCCATCCCCAGATGCACCGGATCGATTTGGTTGCTCGAATTGTTGATCGAATCTCGGCCATTTTACTTGCCCATTGAACAAGTGAACAAGTGCACAATTTAACCAGTGTTTGGGAAGCGCCCATGTACACTGGTATTTTCCCAAACTTTTCAATCTTTTCATCACCGTCACAAAATCTATATTTTTCTGTTTTGACGATGCATTATTTCTAGCTATTCTTATTACACATAAAAACCGCAATTAATAATTTGTCGGTACCACACATATACACCCACACACCCACCCCACACACACACACAACCTGGCAGTATTCAGCCCACAAGCCAATCATCGAGTTTTTTTCTTTTTCTTAAAGGTTATTGTACCATGATTTGCCTGGTACAGTCTGTCCTCAGACAAGTGTGAAATATAATATAATAATACACACACACACACACACACACGCACATTCAGTTGAGTTAATTTCGTCATCCAGCGGACGAGACCGGATTGCATGTGTTGTCCTGCTTTCCCGCATCAATCCTCCAACCGTCACATGATAAGAAGCACTGGGCGTTGCTGTTATCTGGGGAATACATCGACAAAGCTGATTCGATGCGATAGATTGGAATGAAGATGATAAGCTACTGGTATTTATTCTGAATAATAACGCTACAAACCAAATGATGTTTGCCAAATCTATCGATTGCAATCGTCATCAACACCCTAAAAGCGTGTATTTCCAAAATCTTCAAACTGATGCCTGACAAGCTGGAACAAACTGTTGCTGCAAATCGCTAATCAGTGAATGAAAAATGCGTTAGGCAGGTGAGTTCATGTTTATTTGTCGACATCCAATCCAAAGGCAAAACAGTGGACAGCGTCGGGAAATTCAATAAAAAGGGGAACAATTAATCATCAAAACAAACCAAACCATCCTAAACACATCGGATAAACAATTGGAATAGTCTGTAAGGACGCAGTTGATCGAGGCAGCACTTGCTAGATTGATTCCAAAAGTTGACAAAACAGACCCCAGTGGATCAGTTTCGATCATTACCTTTTGGACAAGAGGAAGTGAAGAATCACCGAATTCGCCAATCATGAATTTACATCTCAACCCAAATGGCGGTATACTTTCGCAACCAGTCAGTAGAGGACCTGTAAAAGGACCGCTATGACTGAATGTTATTCGAGGTGGCTGGATGCGGAATGTCTATTGTTTTATAGCCCAAATTATTCAGGAAATGGCTTTCATTTATCTTTTTCACAATTGTCCAGCATGGGTCAGTTGTCTCTCATTGAAATTCAGACACATGGACTGTTGCTCTCACACACACACAGACAGTGGTCAGTAATGTGCTGATTAGATCTAATTAACAGGGACCTTCACTGAGGGACAGGGAAGTCTGTTCGGATACAAATCGAGTAAACCAAAGTTACTGTGCCCTCTCCTCATTTTTGTTTGGGGAAACTGTTTTAATTTACTTTGGTTCGACAAGTGATGCAACAACTGATCACCCGTTTTCAAAATAAACTGCTTCTTAGTTCCAGTGTGTTGTGAGGAAGGTTTGACTGAAACAGCAAGATTTCACCGTTGGTGCCATTTTGGACACCTCAGCTGACATACCCATTTCAGACTTCGAAAATACGAGCATTTGAGGGTTCGGAACTTCATGAATACATTGCACACGCATTCACCAATTAGCGCTTACCATCAATAGAATATATGCTCCAAGTGTGATTAGTTCATCCCACACGCGAATCAGATTCTCGGTGAATCGTTTGTGCGTCACACCAATGGTGACAAATGTCCACAACGGAATGTTCCAGAACCTGCGTAGTCGATGAGAAATTGATCAAAATTTGAATTGGGATTAGATTACAATTGCAATTGGAATAGTTATCAGTATGATCGGAGGTGGGTGTCTGGGTTGTGGCTGGTCACCTTTCCCTTGCACCTCGCGAAGTGCTCCCATACTACCAAGCGTCTCAAATAGCCTCTGGTCAGGAAGCCCTACCAACTACCTTCTTTTGGCGGAGGTGTTTTCCCACCAAAGTGAGAGGAGGATAGGCAGATAACCGGGTTGGTGAATCACTGTTAGTTCACCTAAGGGAGTAGGCGTACAAACCACATACACACCTCCCCGGTTACGGTCACTGGCTCAATTGGGTATTGAGGTTTATTGGGCACCTTGAGCGTTTGACCCCGTCCAAAGAGCATATGATCCGATGAACTGGACACCGGCCCCCCAACGGGGCGTAATTTTAACCGACCTCGCTGCTTTGCGGGTCAGGCTTTGGCTAGCGAAATGCTCCAGTTGCGGATTCCCAGAGAAAATTCACCTCCCTTGGCCTGGGCAACCTGGCAGTGTTCAGATTATTATACCATGATTTGTTTGGCACACAGTCTGGCGTCAGACATGGGTCAAAAAAATATACATGTATACATATATACATACATATATATATATATGTTATTTACGAAGTCAAATTGTTCATATCCGTCAATTAGCAGTTCTATCCTATCGTGTCTCTATAAAAGCATTCCATTCAGCTTCTAAACAGTTCAGTTCGCGCCCCTGAAGTGTTTTATCGTCCAAGCCAAGTCAAATCAAATAACTTTTTGTGCATCCTGGTGGCTGAATCGTCAGCGTGTTTCGCCAGGTACAGTGGAAATAATGTATACGAGGATGAAAAAACAGGAATGGGCAAGCTTACGTGAACGGGGAGCTGATAGATTAGCAATAATGGATAGATGCGGCTGATATAGATGCGCACTAAATTTGGAATAATGTTTTTGTAATATGTGGATGTCCGGGAAGACAGAATACTGGACACTGGGAACGAGTACGGAAGTTAGAGAGACAGCTTTGATGAGTTAAATGCATACAAACGCTGGTCGGCATTGGTGAAAAGAATTTCGGGTAAAATGGTCCCGTGCACCGAAATACTTGCGAGCAATGACGTCAACGAGATAAATACGGGGAACGCCACGGAATTCACGGATAAGAACTCAACAGTTAGCAAAAAGGCAGTGAAGTGTTTATCTTTGGAATTCGAGAAAACGGTGTAAGAAGAATTAAGCCGAGGAAGCATAGTGCATATTACGGCAATCAAGATCCGGCCTTCGAAGGAGGTATAGTAAAAAAAAATATATATATATATAATTTCTGTTCACCGGTGAGAAAATGGCCGTGTCTCAACTTGTTTAAAATGCACTAAAACAGTATTCGAATAAGA